AGCTGAAAGCTTTGGGGTACAGAGGAGGTGTCAACAGCAGAGGCTGCTGTAGTATCCTCAGAGCCACATCAGAGTGGCTGTGGAATGGGACCAGAGCCTGTGGGGACACCAGAGGGAGCAGTGAATTCCAGTGGGTGTTGCAGGACCACAAAACTTGTTCCTGTAGAGAGAGTCCCCAGCGGTGCCATGGCCTGCTGGTTTGATGCAAAGAGGCCTTTTGTGCTAAGCTGGTTTTTAACCATGATTCTGAGAGGTTTCAATAAGTAGCTCTTACTTATTATAAAAGCTGATGTTTATCAGATAAAGGAGCATGTGCTGTATGGTTTTGGCTTCTATCAGCTGTACTGGAGATGTGCGTCCGTGGCTGCAGGGGCGGACAGGGCCTGGCATGTAACAGAGCAGGAGCTGCTCATACAGAATGGCTCAGACTGGAGCCTGCCCTGCCTGGAGCAGAGCTCCTGAGATCCCAGCACTGACAGCTCAGGGCAGCCTGAATTCCCAGCTGGCCTCACACAGACACTGGGACCATCTTCTTCCAGGCCTCTGCAGAATATTTCAGGCTGCAAACAGCCCGGAGGTATCCATAGCCCTTGGGGTGTGCTGTGGGATTGCTCCTTTGATACCTGGTAGGGGAACAGCCAGTGAAGCACAAACCAGCAGTGCCACATCAACTTTTGTCCAAGGGTTAAGGTTCAGGGTCAAAATCGGGAAGTGGAAGCTGCATAATTTTATAAATCCTGTTTTGTTGTCAAAGACCAAAGCCTTCCTGTTTGGGGATGCAGGGCTGTTCCATTTCCACTGTAAATGGTGACACTGCCCATAAACCTTATGTTTACTTCACTATTTCTGATGCTTTCTACATGTGCTGAAACAGCTTTCAAGTGGCCATGACATTTTGTCAAAAATAGAGATGGCAGTTGGGAAAGGAAAAGTAGTTTAACGTCAGCCTAATCTTAAAAAGCATTTTCTTTACTGGAGTTAAAGAGCTGAGTCCATCACCACAGTGTTGCACACACTTGTAGATATTCCATTATTGTTACAAATCAACTGAGATTTCAGTTTTTCATTCAGGTCTTCCTTACAGTCCTCATGGAATGGAATATTTAATTGGTAGATTTTGTCTGTGAAGCCGGTGAATTAGACACAAAGTAATCTCCATGCAACAAATACTGCTCTGCAGTAATTCCAGGTACTTGCAGCTCTCACAGGAAAAGACCAAAATGTAAGTGTTCTGTACAACCTTGGATAGAGTAATTGAACAGTGTCATTTAGTACCATAATTTACAGTAGTACAGTGAACTAACAGATACAAGCCTGAAAGTTAAAAAGAAAAAAACGTAAAGTCTTAGGGATTATTTTTGTAAGTATTTGAATTCAGAACTAAGAAGCACCAAAATTCAAGTGGACAAGAAATAACATCTACTGAGGAAATCACAAATGGCCATTGAAGAGGCATGGAAAAGAGTGGCAGTTCCTCCATCCAGTCACTGGAGATGTCATGGGAGGCTCATGTGGGCTCCAGCTATTATGGAAAATTAGTTCTTTCAGGATAATTTTTAAGGGAGTGAGCCACAAAGATCACCTGTGAGACACTTGGAGTCTGCAGAAACTCCCCCATCTCCTTTTGCCAGCCAGCACTGCTGTAACAGGGGCTGTCCCTGCAGCCTGGGGTGGCACAGCTGGCTCCAGCCACCCCACACATCCCAGGATGGGACAGCTGGATCTCTCCCCCTTGTCCCAGGATGGCACAGCTGGCTCCAATCCCCACCCCTCCACATCCTGGGATGTCACAGGTGTTCATTAAATGGCATTTTTGGCACTTCTATATTTGGGAATGACTCTGCTAATCCCAGAGTGTCTCACTCTGAACAGACCTCCTGGGGTGCAACAGTCCCTGCACCCAGCAGTTACACTTAGCACAGAATCCACAGTTAGCACAGAATCTCAGAGTATCCTGAGCTGGGAGGGACCCACAAGGATCATGGAGTCCATCCAGCTCCTGTGGGCTGGGGATTCTGCAGCTGCTCTGGGAGGCCTGAGGCCGTGGCTCTGGTCCCTCAGCCACCATGGCCCTGTCCCCATCCCTGTGCAGGGAGAGGGGCCAGGCCTGACCTGCCCCTGACAGCTCGGTTGGAGACTCACCTGCTGCACATGGAGAAGTTCATCCATCGCTGATGGACCCCGGGTTTGGATTTGCCCATGGAAAGCAGCCACTGCTCCTGTGGCACTGGATTATCCCAGGCTGCTCCCACCCACCCCTCTGGCAGGATTGTCCATCCTTGGCATCACTGACATCCCTGTCCCCTCACAACAGCCATGGTTTGGAACATTTCATTCCAGTTCCAGTCACAGCCCTGGATCTGCACCTTGCAATTCCTTCCCTGGGAATGCCAGAACTCAAAGCTCAGTACAAGAATAAAACTGCACCAACAGTTTCAGTAATTCAATAATTTATTCATCTAAAAAAGTGTGTAAAAGTATATAGCTCTCATCCACAAGGTATATATGAATGACATTTAAAATGGAGGTCTTTTATTATTATTGTTTCTTTTTATCAAAGTCTTTTTTAGTGTATTGTACCAGCGATATACTGTAGATTTAAAATGAACTTCACATTTTTTTTTGTTTTCTTTCAAATTGTCGGCTATATATAAAAGAAGCTCACTGCAAAATGCTCAGAGGAAAAAAAAAAAAAGAAAACAAAAAGAAATTCAGAACTCCCCAGAAATGTACAGCTTTTACATTTAAAAAAGGTTCTGAAATATACATACAAGCATGCTGGACATTCCCCACCCTCCCGCTCCCTTTAGCTCAAACAACTGTAATAATAATTCTGATTTAGGCATGATTTTCCAAAGTTAGAAATAAAAAAAAAAAATAATAACTTTCTTCACTCTGTAGGAAAGCCAGGGCTTGTACATTTCAGATTAATTCAGTAAAAAACTCACAAGTAAAATAATGCATATTTAAGAGAAATATTATACAGAACTTCTCACACTGAAGTACATAAGATTTTTCTTTAAAATCTATTGCCATTCATTTATTTTGCACAAAAACGTATAAATATGTCACCAGCTTCTCTTAACTTAAAAAAATTAAATAAAAGACACCAGATGAAAACTACTCCTTGCTGCCCTTTTTTTAATTTCTAATTTTTGCTTAGAACCAGGTTTGTGGGGAAGAAACACCCCTGGATAAAAACGGCCCATTTAAAAACAATAAGCAAAATAATAATCCAAAGTTCAGATGAATCCTGGGAACAAATAACCCCCAAATGGTAAAAGATTACAAATGTCTACTTTACATTGTTTTCCTCCCCAAGTTAAATTTTTTTATACAAGTTTACAATCTTCATCTTTTTATGCTCTTCAAAAGGCCTTGAGAATTTTCTTTTCTGATTAAGAAAAAATAGTACTGCAATATTTTTAAAGTCAATTTTACACTGTACACATTAGATACAAATGGTTTGATATCAGATTTTTTTAACCTATACATTGCAAAGAGGACACCCACACGGAGGGGTGGAGCAGGGAAGGAAAGAATCCATTTACAGGTTCCTCTCCTGCCTTCACCTTCTCATTACACAAGCAATTTTTTTTTTCTTTTATTATTTTATATAATTTGTTTTAAATGTTACATTATCTCAAGAAAAATACTTTTTAAAATCATAGAATTTCATTTTTTTTAACCAGAACATGAAAGTCTTTTGGAAGAACTCTAAACTTGGTAGTTTTTCTTCACAGCCAGGGGAGGGGTCACCCAGCCTGATCCAAGTGCCTGACCCTGGCCCCCTCCTGCTGCCCAGTGCACCCCCAGAAATGAGGGAATGGGGCTGGAATAGGAACCCCTGGGAGCCTGGAATGAAGGAGTCATAAAAATACTTCAATTAGCCATTAACCTTCCCAATGGCGATCATTTCACTAAACAAAGTAACTTTGCCACCACAGTGGTGTAACTTCAAGTACTAATTTAATGATATAATTTTTAAAAATTATTTCTTTGAAATAATATTCCTATAGTCAGAAAAAATACACCAGATTTGTGACTGATTTAGTGTAAACAAAAACCGTATTTTTGGATATGTACATGGACGAGTCTGCCCAGAATTCAAGGGCGACTTGGCTTTCAGTAAATACTTTTCTAGCATCACTAAATTTACTGGAAATATATTTCAATCATAGCTCTACAATAGAATAATTTGCCACTTTCCACTTGCCCTGAACTGGGCTTTAAAGTATTTTTTTTCCTCCCTACCTCCCTCTCACTCTTCTCCCTTAGGTAGTGTTATCCTTCATTAAACACTGGCCATTCCTTGCTTTAACCAGGCTAAACACAGGGGAGAATTCCTTAAAATACAAGATATCCTTACCAGAACACATTTCCCTTCCCAGACTTTGATTGTTATGAGCTTCTTTTGATTTCCAGGTCAGAAGAGTGAGAGGTCTGTAGATAAATAACCCTACAGTGGAACGGAGCTGGATTTTTAAGGTATTTCTACTGTTCCTGGTCCTTTATAATTTAATCCCTCCCCTCCCCAAACCTAAAAATAAATAAAGTATCTCCAGACCATTCATATCTACATGGACAGGTAACAAATGCATGCATTCATCCCAATCCACTCTGACAGGAACTCCAGGTAGACAGAAAACTCCAATATTTATACGAGACTACAACTGTGTGGTTTTGTGTTTGTGGTTTTTTCTTCCTGCAAAGTCCCAGTTTACGACGATCAAACAACAAAACACCCGAACTGGTCACTACAAGGTGGTTTTTACTCGGAGGGCTGACACTGCTTGTGGGTCTTTATCAGTTCCTAATGCAAAAAGATCCTGTAGTCTTCCTTAAAAAAATAAAATATTAAAAAAAATAATCACGCTGACCAGTAGTTACTGAGCCACCAAACTAACACTGGCTTGAGGTTACTCTGTGTTCACTGTTCTTGGATGTTCCCAGATTTTGGACTGAAGCTGCCAGAGATGTTAATGGGTAGTTTAGTTTTGAACACTGCAGAATTCACATGTGCTTTTGGAGGAACAGAAGCACAGCACAGGACTGGTCTGAAGAGAAGCAAACGGAGCTCTTTGCAGGTCGTGGCACGTTCCCGGGCGGAGGGGAGAAGCAGCCAGAAGAACAAGTGCTTGTGTGTCCTACAGGATGTTCATGATGGCGTTGTAGAGCTGGGTGAGCACCACGAAGTGCACGGGCAGGCAGGAGCTGCGGTCCTGCGTGGCCGGGTTACACGTGAGCCAGGACAGGGCGTTGTACTGCTCCAGCACGAACCTGCACAGGAGGCACACACATCACAGCCTGCTCTGGGGGTGTTAGGGGCTCTCCTGGACCTGCACCCTGACAGGGCTGCCAGTGTGTTGGCAAAGGAGGAACCTCACTGAAAAGCAGGAGGGTTCAGCTTTGCTATGTCTGAACCATTTGCACAAAGGCCCTCCCAAACACACACAGACTTTAGACTCACAGTGGTTCAAATGGCACTGCTGTCCAAGCCTTGGGGATTGAACACCTCTGCCTCTCTGTGCACCCTGTGTTTGTTTGCTCACACTGTTCCTGTGATCCTCTATCTAATTGCAATCTCTCATCTTGGAACTTGTGTCTGTTGCATCTCTTCCTTTCTCTGTGCAATGCATTCTCATTTTACTCAATACCTGGGACACCTGTGAGAGCTCAGTCCTCCAACAGGATGCAAATTAGTATCTTCTAGAATAGTACACCCCCAATTTCCTTAGATAGGACATTCCTGTTCCCTGCTGATGTTTGTTTGTTCACTCGGGTGTCCCTCACTGTGTGCTCTCACCACACAGATCTGTGTCCAGTCCCCAAAGGTGGACAGGCCCTACACCATCCTGAACAATAAAACACACACCCTACCTGCATTCAGGAACAGTGTCTCCTTTATACCCCAATCCCTGCACAGTAGCATCAGGGAGTGCTTTTATCTCCTCCTACAAATCCATTGGGTTTGGTAAGATAATGGAATGGCACAGCTCAGATTAGATGCCAGAGGAACAGAGCAGTCTGGGTGGGGGGCAAACCATGATGTCCCCCTGGCAAGGTTGAGCTGTTCTGAGTTTGCTTGGCATCATTGTGCACAGCAGAGGGAAACCCACAGAATTCCCCCTCAAAGTCCTGCTCTGGCATCTTGGAGGAGGAAATGCCCCAAGACACATAAGGCATGGCAGGGCTAAAACGTGCAGATAGGTAATTGTGATAGGTTGGAAAGGTTACTCTGAAACCACTGAGCTCAGTCCCCTAATGTTTAGAGCAGAAATGAAAACCTAAAAGGTGTTACCTCAAGACATCTGATGTAGTCTTAGAGTCGAGGGGGTGAGGAACTCGCTGAGAATTTCTGGCAGGTAGAAGCTCGTCTGTCTGCGCTACAGAGATGTGGTGATGGAGAGAGGCCTGTGCAGAGGGAAAGAGCAAAAATTAACTTCTCATACAGCAGGTACTGCTGAAGATTCCCAAGAAACATCCATTGTGAATCACTTCAGGACAGCGTGGGAAGTTGGCAGTTCTGTGGTGAACCCCCCATGACCACGTGTATTTCCAAATTAATGGTAACAATTTTGAATAAACAGACTGGAGTTCTGCAGTTCTGGAGTGAGAGGTCTCAGGTTCACTCTGACACCACAGACTCCAACTTAGGCTTTTACAGTCATGGAAACAGCAATGGAAAATGAGTGCTCCATGTGGAGTATGACAGACCTTCAGGAAGAGGGGACACTGGTTCTGTGCCTGAGGACAGGAGGACCAGAACCACTGCGGGAGGTTCTCCGCTTTGGCAGTCGACACAAAGTAGCCCAGAGCCAGGGGCTGCTGCTTCAGCTCCTCGGGGGCTTCTCTGGAGAGGAGACGTTCACCTTGGCTCTGCAAGACAGGGAAAAGGCAGCTCTGGGGTGCTGTCAATGCAGCCCACTCCTGGAACGGTGACTTCATTTGCTAATTACTGTCCTGTGACAAATGAGCCCTCCTTTAGTCAGTCAGGAATCTCAGTCAAAGTTACCCAGGCCCTGCCTTATTCCCCTGTGGTTGGGTTCTCCAGGCTTATGTTTCAGAAACACTGTAGATTCCTGAACAGCTGGGAGAGCAATTCACTTCATCCATAAATGTCAATAGGTTAAGAAAAAAAAGGCAAAGATTCCACAGCACAGAAAGCAGCTCAATTACAAATCCCTCCCTGCCAATCCCTTCCAGTGGGTCTGCACAGGAATCTAAGGCAGGAAAAAAGCCTGGAGCAGGGGCACAGGGAGCCCAGCACACAGGGCTGGTGCCCAGCCATCAATTATTGCCCTGACCCCAGGCCCACGGGGGGATGATCACACACTGCTGCTCTGCTAAAGCCAAACATTACACTGCAATTACCAGGCCTGGCTTAATGGTTAATGGGAATTACTCGGGTTCAGCTGGAAGGGGCTTGTCCAGGGCCCTGGGCTCAGGCCATGAACCTCCCAGGGCTGCTCCCAATGGATGCAGCTCCACTGAAGGCAAGCTCTGCATAGCAGTGGGCCAGAATGGATTGCTGAGGGAACTGGGGAGGGAGAAAGTGAGGAGTTTTGATTTATGGCTGCAGGGTTTGGCAGCAGAATTTAGAAGTTTTCATTTGCCCACACACCAGTCTGGAATAACTGGGACAGCAATGTGCTGTTATCAAGCCTTTGATGGGAGAGTTACACAATCCACACAAGGTGGTTGTGGACTGAGCTCACAAAATACAGGGTTAGTATTTCTGTGGCTGAGGTAGGAGGCATTTCTCCCTCACTGACTGTATTAAAGCTGAACTGAGGCGTTTTGGCAGAGTTTGCAAGGGAAACTTGCAAACTTCTTTCTACTTCCAGGGGTGAAACTACCACCATTTAGTCAGTTGTGTTCAGGAGTTAGAATGCTGATCTGGAGATGTCTCACTGATGTGTCAAAAATGATATAAAAGTTACCGTTTCTCTCATGAAATACTCTATTATTTAGTAAAGAAGTAATATGCTACTACTTCCAAGTTAATACTTCTAGAACAAAACTTCACAGAAACTTGCAAATCACAGAACTTCAACCTAATTGCGATGGAAACCATTTTAAGAGATCAGCTCAGTCTTATGTGATTAAATGTAGGAGTGAAAGAGTTCCCTCAAACCTGATCCAAGCTAAGCCAATTCAAAAAAAACCCCATGAATTACTGAAAATAATTTGCATTTTAAGTAATCACTGATGTTGGAACTGACTTTATAAAAGCCACTTCAAACAAAAATAACTCCCAAATGCTGTGTGCTCTGGGCTAAATATTCCTAAGAAAACAACATCTGCATAACCATCCAGCACCTGCGGAGTTTCCATGGGCAGAGTTTCATCACTGGGAGAATTCTCTCCCTCCTGCCTCCCCTGAAATGCATGGGAACAGGGCTGTCACAGCTTCCCTTCTCTCCAAGACTTGTCACTTCATGCCAGAGACATTCCAGAGGATTTTCCAGGAGGGAATGGATGAGTCCAGATTAAATCTATGCAGGGTCATCAGCTATGGCTGTGCCACACCAAAATAAAGCTGCTCTCCTACTGCTCTCTCCCCCTCAATCATCAACCAGCAATTAACTTGGAGGGTGCAAACAGCCATGGCAGAGACACCTCCGGCAGTATTTAACCTTCAATTGTAAACTAAGTTTTGCTTGCTGTTGAGCTAATTATGTGTCAGGATCTAAAGGAAAAAGATTTTGTTGGAGGATTTGGGTCTTTCTTTGTATTTTATTTTAAGTGCTGCTCCCTGTGGTGCTGCAGCCTTACCCTGCTATGATGGTAGTGAGATCCCACTCCAGTGCCAGATGGTGATCCAGGGGAAGGAACTGGGGAGGAATTTGGTGAAGAGTGAAGATTCCCTGTTATCAAAATTCTAATGTCATTGTCCATGTCATCTGGGAATGGGAGGTCAAACATGTCATCTGAAAAGGAAAAGAAAGGAAAATAATTTCCAATGTGCTATACTCTTTTCTCCAAGAAATTTTTATAATTTATTACCTTTCCCTTTAATTTATTGACTTTCCCTTTTTTCTTTTACATACTCCCAAGATAGATGAAAGCAGAGATAAAAAATTTAATGTTTAATCCCCCTTAGAACCTTTGACTGCAACCACACAGACATAAAAGGGAGAGTTGGCAGGCAGCTATTGGGATAATGAGTTTTAGCAGTGGCCACAGAGTGAATAGAATTCCCATTGTAGCACCTCCATAAAATCCAGACTGAATTTTGTAACAGAATAACTGACACCTCTGTGCAGCTGGTCACAGAGACCCCTAAACACTAAACCCCTAAAACTTGGAATCATCACACACAGCTCCAGGTGCTGCTCCTCAGGCTCCCAGAGCTGCACACCAGCTCCAACCTCTGGGAACAGCCCTGGCAGCTCCAGGGAAACTGCCCCTGGAATCTGTGAGGACAGCAAGGCCTTCCTCACAGCAAGGGACTCGTGATTCTTTCAGACTCTGCACCAGGATCCCCAACAAAGCAGCCTTCATATCCCACTCTCACCTCAGGAGTTCCACACAGCTCGTTAGTATAATCAGCTGGATTAATTTGGTTTATGTTAATATAGGGGGAGGGCTAAAGATACAGGGAAGATGTGTTTGCTTTATGCATTCTATTACTCATCATCTGCACACAGGTTACAATACTCTGAGTAAGTTATGGGAGAGAAGGATATGGCACCATCAACACAGCCAAAAATTACAGCACCACAATATGGTTTACAGGGTTTTTCTTATCCAGATTTCTCAGCAGGTGAAGAAATCCAAGTGTATGCTGCCATTTAAAGTACATTTTAGTGGGTAGACACATACAGTGGGAGCTGTCTGAATTAACTGCATTAATTAGAAATGTAACCAAATTTATACTAAAACACAAAGCCCTAAATAGAAGTCATGCATCCTACATATAATAAACAATAAATAACAATTTCTCCTGAAAAAGATTAATTTACTCCATTTAAAATGGAAAAGTATGTATGTACTGAACTAATTTCACCTAAAACCTCAGTATTGAAACAGGCAGGTGGTTGTTTTCCTTCATCTCTCAAAGAGAACCTCTGGATTGCCAGAGCAATGTTATAACTGAAGTTTATTAACTTGTGTCCTACAGCCTCAGTAAACAAACCAGACCTAATATCATGCTCTGTTTGGCCCCTAGAGCAAAAATGAGCTGGCTAATGGCAGCAGGAAGCAGCTTAATCATTAAGTAGAGCAGAGTTAAGAAAATTAAATTTAACACCATTTTGGAAAAGGCCATTCTTGTACCTGACTCTAATTAAACATCTGCAGCACCAACGGGCAGGTTAATGCAGGTTAATGTTTGTCATGCTTGGGAGGGATCCCAGCGCCTCCTGGGACAGGGATTGAGAGGGACAACTTCCCTTCAGAGGCCCTGGGACATTCCAGGAGGGACAGATCAAAGCCTTAAAAGCAGTGGCCTGCCTTTGTCTCCAACCCAACTGCCCTCCTCATTAATACAGCCACTGTACGTGTTTGTAGCTACTCTTGGTTTAAATTGCTTTGCACTCATTTAAAGGATTTGGAACAAAGCAGGAAAATGCTTATTTGGATATAAAGCATTAACCAGAGTCTTGCTGACTCAAACTGCAGGTTCAGTGTAAAAGCACTCTGGGGGCATCAGGAAATCTCAGGTTGGGATATTTTCCCTACTCAACCACAAATGCCTCCTTTGTGTCAGCTCTGCACACAACAGGGCATGATGTGAAGCACGACTGGAAATCAGTGGCTGGCCTGAGCAAGTTAAAACAAGACAAAGCACATTCTGGTCTGTTCCACTCAGTGCATTGGCTGGTCCTTGTCCCTTCTGGAATAAACCAGTGTGACTCCAAAATACACTTAGGGAGAGCACAGAGTCTCCCCCTGTAGCTACAGCCCTGCAGGGTTCCCTTGCTGGGGGGGTGTGGGGTCTGTGCAGAACCCTGGCTCCATCGGGGTTCATTCCTGCCCAGCTCAGCTCTGCTGATGCCCTGGAAAGGCCCCAGGGGATCTCCCCTCACTCACCGTTGGTGGGGCTGAAGCCATCCTCGTTGGGGTAATTTGCAGGTGCCACCTGGATGGTGGCAGAGGTGGGGAACACCAGGATGTGTGTGCAGGAGGCGTCCTGGGGGGTGTTGAGCTGGGACGACTGCAGGTTCAGCGCCGTGCTGCGCCCGAACACCGAGCCCATCGTCACCGCGTCTGTGGGGACAGACACAAGGGCACAGGTGTCACTGCATCACCTCCCAAACACGTGTCCAGGGACACCTCTGCCCATCCCACCTGCTCTGCAAATGCACAGACACAGCTGAAGGGCCTTATCTTCAAAAGATTACATTGCTGCACAAGCTTGACATTAAGATCACCAGCCCCACCTCTCCTGTCATTCTGCTGGCCCTTAATCAAATATTTACTCGTTAAATGAGCAAGTTAAATTGATTTTTCACACACATCTCTGTAGAATTATGAAATACACCCCACTTTGGTCGATATGAACACAAACACAAAAATAAAGCCGCACAACAATAAAATTTCTCTCTCCTCCTGCTCTATTCTTCTCAATTACCCACCAACAATTAACTTGGAAGGTGCAAATACTCAACGCAGAGACACATTCTTTGGCAGTATTTAGTCAGCACCTTCAATTTTAACCTAATTTTTGCTTGCTGTTGACCTAATTATGTGTAAGGATCTAAAGGAAAAAAAAAATCTGTTGAAGGATTTGGGTCTTTCTTTGTGTTTTACTGTGATATGAAAAAAGCCTCATTTGCCATCTGTTTTCTCACATTACAAAATCTCTGCTTTGAAAATATTCAACACGATAAGTAATTTTCAAGCTCAATTAATTCTGCTCTGTCTTAGTCTTTTCCTTCTAAACTTAAAAAACCCCAGAGTGGTTTGTAAGGATATGTTAAGGATGTGTCACCACATACATTAAAAAGTACATGCTTGGGTAAAACAACAAAGGGAACCTCAGCATTAAATTTCACTTTAACTTAAGCCCATGGACTGCTGCTTGTAAGTGAACTCTCTAAATAACTTCTGCATGTGAGAAGGCAAATGGGCTTATTCTAATTCCCATTTCCACAGGCTCCTACTCATTCCCACTGCACCTCCTCCAGGCTCGAGGCTGTCTGTGACACCACTTCCAGCCCATGGGAACTGGGCTGCCTGAGCCCATGGGCTCCTCAGGGAACAGATCAGCACTTTGGCAGTGGCCTACAGTCACCTTCCCTCAGGAGACTGCTCTCCTCACGTAACATCTCTCCATGGTATTTTGGGGAATTCTGCTGGCTCAACCTATTTTCTGCCACACGTAGCCATGATAGTCAAGTTCTTCACAGAAATCCCAAGATTAATGTGCCTAAGTGGGAAATGTGATAAAAGAACAGTTTTTCTGGCATTGCCAGAGTTGGCTAAAACATACCTGGCATCACCACGAATGATCCCTGTGGCTCCATGGCAACGAGGCAGGCACTGAGGATGGAGGGGGAATCTGCTGCAGAGATGCCGCACATGCGGCAAACCTCCTTCAGCTGTTTGCTGATTGTCTGCAGGGAGCACTCCCCGAGCAGGATACTCCAGTCTGCAAGGGAAAACATCACGGGAGCACAGAGCAGATGCAGAGCCAGCACCCACCTGGAAACAGCAAAACTTTCCCAACACTTGGCATTTCCCTAATCTCAAACCCTCCAGGACTGACTCCTGTGCACATGAGGGGCCTGGCCCTGCAAACTAAGTGCTGGAGGAGTTCCTGTGGCACGTTGTTATTCCCTGGCAGTCTGCTGGCTTTCCTTTGTTCAATACATTTTTTCTCAAGACCTTTTTGTTTGCTTAGTGATGTTTAAGTTGAGGAATCACAGCTGAATCCTGTCTCTATGTCTGTGTCACGATAACTCCATTCACAACTTTCTCTAACCTCTGATAAGGCCCCAACATCCCTTGGAAGGACAGTGTGCAAATGCTGCACAACACGAGGGAGTAGCATCAGACCCAGGGCACAAGCAAGGGAAGGTTTATGGAAACCAATACAGGAATTCAGTGCCAGGGCAGGACTGCAGCCAGCTCTCCTGTAATCCATGCTGTCATGGCCCAGGAAATTCCAGTTTGGAGGATCCTGATGATTTCTCTGCCAGGTACTTTACACTCAGATCCACTTGGTCAAGTGGGCATCACTATCAAGACAACAATGGGGACAAAGGGAGAGAAAGGGCTTCAGCAGCTCTGGTGTTGATTATAAACTCCTAAGGAGCCCTGCCTGAGAAGCCTGGATATCTGGCTTCCCATCCATGTTTGCCCTCACTCAACTCTGGCAAAATAAACAACAGCCTATCCTGTCTGTGACAGAATTTGGCACACCTTGTTTACCTTTTGCAAGATCATGGTTCTAGGACCAGAGACAGGACTTGGGAAGGTTAAGCCAAATTCACCCCATCTAACGCCACTGTGTGATGGCAGAGTCTCAGCCAGTCTGCAGGTGATGCAAAACTGAGAGGAATGGCTGAGTCTCCACCCCTGGAAGTGTTCAAAAGCTGTGTGGATGTGGCACATGGGGACATGGATCAGTGATGGCTCCAGCAGTACTGTGGGACAGTTGGACTTGATGAGCTGAGAGGGCTTTTCCAACCTAAACAATTTTGTGGTTAGGTGATTATCACTCTCAATTTTGACAGGTTTGTCATCAGGTCAGAGCCACCCTGCCTTGTACCCTGGGTCCCTGTCCCACTGCACACAGCCCTGACAACTGCACACCTTTCAGCTCCCCGTGGCCCAGGCGGCCCAGGCGGCCGATGACGACTCTCCAGGGCAGGGATGTCATCTGGACAATGCCAATGCACCACTCCCAGAGCTTCTGCAGCCCGATCTTCCGGGCAGACAGCTTGCTCCTCCTTGACCTGCAGGGGAAGGAATTAAACACAAGAGTGAGAGGACAATCAAGGACAATATTCAGATTTCTGTTTTCTCTAATTATGTCACAGTTTACCACCTACAGAGTTCTGGGCAGTCCCTAACTTACCTTTTACTACTACTAACAACAAAAACTATGTGTCTGCTTTCAACACTGTTACTGCAGTGCCATCAAACTGCTGAACAACACACCAGGTGTTCCCCACGGTAAAAATTCTAAGCAAAAATATTTTAAAACAAATTGGCAAACAAGTGTAACTCAGTCACTTTCCCCTGTGCAGATCTGAAAATCTGGAAGCGCCAACTCAAATGTTCTCACTGTAACACCAGCATGATCTCCTGAGCAGGAAAGGGGATGGAAGGGATGTGCAAGGAGCTGGTGAGGGATGGCTCCAGCCATGGGAGAAGGCAGGGGCAGGGGGTACCTGCTGGGCAGGTCGATGTTGACAATGCAGGTCTCCAGCAGCTCCCCGTGCAGGTCGGTGCAGGACGCCAGGAGCCAGCGCTGATCGTGGGACAGGCAGTACCCCACAAAGAGCACGTTGTATTTCTGACTGGCCTCTCCAAACGTCTCTCCCAGCTCTGTCTGCTTGTCTTTGATGGGGGCCAGGATGAAAGGAGGTGAGTACAGCTGGATTGGGCTGGGCCTCTGCAACAGAGTCAGCACAACCATCAGGGGATACATCAGAAAGTACTGAACACAAGGAACACACACACACACTGGCTGCGAGTACAGAGACAGGCAAGTGTGAAACAATGAGTAAATTCAAAGCATTCCTAGTCAGGAGGGAGACTGGGAAAAGGGGGGTTATAGACAATTCACTGCTGCCAGTTAAAGCTGATGTGTTCAAACCTTATCTAAAGATTTCTTTTTATGTACAGATAACCCAGGATATGAAAGCAGTCTTTGGACCAGTCCCTGACACAGGCAGGAGTTTAAACCCCCTCAGCTGTCAGATCCTCCTGTCCCTTAATCATCTTTAGACCCTTGGCTAGATTTGCTCCAGTGTACCCAGGTTTCTTGTTCTGAGGAGCCCAGAAGGGAGGAGGACAAGCACCTCCCTGGCTGGGCTGCAGCACCTTCCCAAGGCAGCCCAACTGCTGCTCCTTGGGAGCATCCATCAAGTCCAACAGGACCTCCAGGTCATCTTCTGCAGAGCTGCTTCCCACATGGGCACCCCAAACCCATCTTTGCCTTGGAACTCCTCTCTGGAGAACACATAGGAAGGGCCTCACCAACGTTTCATAATTAAAAAACAGTCAGGGTATTTTCTTAATTCTTCAGCAGAGTTTGGGAGTCTGCAGTGCAGACTGAGAGAAAAAGTATAAAATGCAATAAACAGAGATTAATTAAATGCAGTAAGTAAATGCCAATAGGTTTGGCTTTGCAAGTAGGTTTTTAAACCCTCCCAAGTAGCTCTTTATGCCAAGGTAAATGTTTAAGTGTTTTGCTGGTCCATTAGATCTAAATAAAATATTCATAGTTATCTTTCAAAGAATGCAAAACATTCATAGAAAGTAGGATGGATTATTCTTCCTTTGAAATCCCTGAGATTTCAGAATCAGGGCTTTAATATTTAGTTTAAAATAGATAAAAGATAAGCCCATCGAAGAGGGGGATTTCTCCATTACCTCAGGGAATTAATATAACATCTGCAATTAGGCATAGGAACTTATTTCATATATATGCATATAGATGTGAATAGAAATAAAGGTTGGGTTTAAACTCTGGTTGGAGCACTATAGACTGAAACCACAAAATTACTCAGAATCCCAGCTACTTATGTTCGTTTTCTCTTCTTTCACAGTTTAACCTTTTACTTTATGAGTCAAAACTAGAAGCTTAAAATGTAGCAAGTTAGCCTAATGTTTTTGTTACTATTTTCTATTCCATATTAGCTTGCCTTTTCCCTTTGTATCATCATTGTCTTCTATATCTTGAAAAAAATCCCCCAACAAGTATTTTCTCTACTCTTTGATATTAGAGGAAAGTGGTTACAGTTCATTAACAGACTTTGATTTTCTTGCCACCAATACCAACCTCAGGGTTTTTGAGGGTCATCTCAATGCTGGCAGCTGGCCCAAAGCCTGTGAGGGACTTGATGTGGATCTGTGTGGGCAGGGGCCTCCTGCACTGGCAGTACACAGAGAACGCCAGAGACTTCAAGTGCTGAATGTAGAAAACCTGTTCATCCTTCATTGTCTGCAGCATGTACTGGCAAGGCACAATCTGTGGAATTCAGACACACAATAAAACAGGGCTGAGAGGCTTCCAGGAGCTGCTCATTAATATCCAACCAGATCCACACAGTCATTAGTCACCAAACACCCAGCACACTTTGGGATGCTCCACGATTTGCATGACAGGTCCCTCGGCAGGAGCAGACAGGGGCTGCATTCTCTGGGACAAAACTGCTTCCATCACAATGAGAGTGAATTTTAATCCATAAAACCCAAACACTTGTATTCAAACACCCTGAATTTTTTACAAGTGTTTTTCTGGGCAAAATCTTCACTTGCAGGTGGCCTGAACCACACAGTCCCTGAACGTTGTGTTCAGGCAGGTTTGGCTGCCTGGCTCATGGGCAGGAATTGTTTGCTGTCCTTGTGGGAATTGGCTCTGTGGTGTCATCCTTACACAGGGGTGGAGAGGGCACAATTAAGATTCTGTTACAGTGATTTGTGTGGTTGTTTCCCCTTTTCAATTTAGTTCCCAGTGGAAGCTCAGCAGCCTCAGCTGCTGCTCTGTTTCATTTGTTTCAGAAAGTCAAGGGAGCAGCCCACAAGTTTCAACCAGCAAGAACCAGAGCTACAGGGAGATTTGCCTGGGAGATGAGTTTGGGGGTTAAGACCCAACTACACAACAAGAGCAGGAATGAGAAATGGCACAACACTCCTTCAGAAGGAAACAAAGCAGGACAAAATCCCAGTTTTCAGATCAAACCTATTTTAAAATTAGAATTAAATCCCTGTAACCTCACTGTTTTTATCTACTGTTTTTATTGTACAAGTCCTACTTGTGGTTCCTTTTACAGTGAGATTTTTGGAGCAGAAGCTGTCAATATAAAACATTTACATTGTTGCCAGCACTACGAGACCCAAACAGATTATTTTCAACAAATATTTTCAGTAGTAATAAAACTTAAGTATCACAAAACTTTAACTACTTTATGGTTCTCGCTTGAACCTTCAGAACCTTGGCAGCACATTTTGCTTACTAAATGTGCCTGTGTGTTTTTAAAAGCCAGCTTTACCCAAGGATTCCAGGAGCTGGGCTTTCCCCTCTGTACAGGAACAGTAATAAAGCTGCAAACATTTGGGTTTGATTTATTTTGAAGTAACTGCATGTTGTGTGTGCTGTGGTACAGCTGTGAGGATACAGTGGTGGAACTGGATCATGTTTCCCTTGACTTAGAGAAAATTGCTGTTTTGACTTCAACTGGCAAAATGTATTTTGGGGAACAAACAGTGAATGTGGAAACAAACAGCACTGAGAAAAAGGGTCAGTGTGCCACAGCCTCAGCTCCCATGGCAGTGCAGAGGTTACACAGTTCTTGTGTGCCAGACACTGTGGTGTCAGTGGCTGCTTTGGTTTTAGTCTCTCCAGGTCTGGATCAATCAGTTGCCTGCAGCCTAACAAGATGAAGTTGTGGATCTGATTTTCATCTCATTCCCAAGCCTAAAATATTTTGGTGACAGTTTCCTCCATCCTTTCAGGGGACAATGAGGTCAAAACTATCAAAAACAACAGTTTTCCATGGCCAGCTTGAGACACCACAAGAACTTCCAATTTTATATTTTTTTTAAACTAATTTGAAATACCTTTAAACCAAGGTGAGCAAATGTGGATAAGGTGCACAGAAATCCTTCCCACACTGTTCCTGCCTGTGGCCTCTGGGCTCCCAATCCCCCCACATTTATTGAGGCTCAGCCTCTGTGACAGGAGGCCTGGCAAAACGCAGCCAGCCTGGGCAAGAGGCCAAGAGCTGCCTCTGGCTGCACAAATTAAATTCTTCAGCAATTCCATAGTAAGTAACTGTTTTTATATGCCAAGTTACATGGTAAATTATTTTTAAGAAGCAGATAATAACAATACAATAGTTATATTATACATTAAATGTCTGGTTTCACGTACTTCTTTTGGATTAAATAGTATAAATCAAGGGAATATAAACAGCAAACAACTCAACATGTGAAGTAATCAAAGGAGCAACTGGCCAGTTTTGGCAATGGCAACTCAAGTTACAACTTAAATAATTGAAACCCCTCTCCAGGAAGCATCGAGCAGCCAGGATTGCTGAGACCACAGGACAGAGTCGATGCAGGGATACTGTGGCTGCTCTAATTAATTTCCTCATCAAAACAAACACAAGGGGGTTGTTTTAATGTACAGCCTTGCACTGTCAACAAAATAATTTGTAAATGCCACCTACATGTCATGCATTATCTCTCATTTATCTCTTTCAGCACAGTGTCCATATCATGGGTGTGCTGTGACACAGACTCAGCATGAAGATACAGAGGAAGGCAGAATTACCTGGAGAATGAAAGAATTCCTCATATTCTCAGGCAAGTTGTCCAACATTTCTGTGTAGCATCTCATGAGGCTCAGGAGCCAGAAGTTGGTGGAGGCAGACTCCTCGTCGGCAGTGTAGGTGAAGGGGTCCACCATGTAGATGACCACAGCAGGGGGGTAGGCGTTGCTGTCGGCAGCGTCCGGCTCCGTGGGGATCCCGATCCGCTCCCGCTCCGACGTGCTGGGGACAGAGCCACACGTCAGTACTGCTTGTGTGGGGCCAGGCTGGGCCAGGGGGAAGGAAAGCACAAGCAATTCTGACATCCAGAAGCAAAACTCAAACCCGTGAGGACAGGCATTGAGATGAGTTGTGCTCACAGCAGCTCCTAACCCGAAATACCTGGGGTTAATCAGGCACTAAAGGTACCCTACAGTCTAACAGCATCTCACTGAATTATATCAGACCACATTATACCTGAAGAATATGGAAAAGTTGTCTCTTTAGCTGTGTGCCTGTGTTTTGGTGCAGTTCAGAATTTGCTTTTGGGAGAGGTGGAAGTGGAAGAGTAGGAGTTTAGAAGTATCAAAGCAATTCATGGAGCCTGGGGTCGTGCTCAGGTCCAGGGAAGGCTCCACTGGCAACAGAACAAGCAATTGAGAATTTCTTACTTGGTAAAATGCTCCTCCCATGCCTCAGCCAGGAGAGTGAGGCTCAACATCTGTAAGTGATCAAAGCAGCTCAGCCTCTGTCAGAAGCCCCTGCAGCTGCTCAAAGGGTGTTTTGCACAGATCAGGCAACAGATGTCTCAAGGACAAGCCCAGCTACAGCAGGATGTGGGCATTTCCCTCTCTGTAATACACACCAGGACCATCAGCAATGTGCATTATTATAAGAGTAATGAAAAACATGCTGCCTCAGGAAGTTACTTACATGCAATGCTAAAAAAACCTTTTCTTAATTTTTATGTGACGGATGGCTATTCATAATGAAGTCTTTAAAAAAGTTGTGCTGCCCAAATGTATTTTAAAGTAACAGGGCTACAGTTGTATCTCCTGACCTTACAGTGTGCCTGCTTGCAAAACAACACCTGCAATGCAAAAAAATTAGGAAAAAAATAAATCCATGGCTTGCATTTTGCATCTGTTAATGTTGTATGTGTGATGGAGCAAGAGGCCCTCAGCTCCATGGGGTACCTGCAAGTGCCAAGCCACAGGTGGAGCACACCCCATGTGCTCCTGATGCTGCAAGGACAGGGCAGGTGGAGGGTCCTAAGGCAGCTCCACATCCATGCAGCTCAGTCAGGCTGGGATTCTTGTGATGGAAAAGGGGAGGGTGTTTTTTCCAGCTTCCCTTTGTCAGTGACTGCTTCACACAGGAACAGGCCCTGCTCTGCTCCACCTGCTCAGCTGCGCTGCACCTGTCAGAGGGGCCTCTCCTTTGAAGGGTTTCCCTCAGGCTTAG